CAAGTATGCTCTTCTCAAAGCCACTGGAGACGTTGCTGCAGCCCAGCTTGTGTGGAAGGTTGCAGGAGAACCTGCTGATGGCTTTTCTTAATGTGGGACAAGTCCCTTCGTCCCTCTGTCACGGAGCTCCTCCTAGTTGTACCTTCTTGATATTTGTGTATGTGCAGTGAAGCTGTTAGTTGAGGGTTGGATCATTAGAGCATCTCTGGAGGAGGACAGTTGATTTGGGCCAATAACCTAAAATGCAGCATTGGCTCTAGGATCACACTGAGAGCTGGAATCGCTCTCACCCCAGCACTGAGCAAGGATGGCCTTGGGAAGCTGAAGGGGGACAAAGGCGTGCGCTGCTCTTACTGCTGTGAGTTTTTCCTCAAATCTACATTTTTAAGGGGAGACGACCCTTCTGGTCTCCCGCCCAGCCAGGCGTTAGGGCAGAGTCATCTTGAGAGTCTACAATTGCAAAATTCTCTCCTTTTTGCTAAAAGAAAAACCTACACAAAGCCAAGAAGCTGTTGTGCTTGCAGCAGTAAATATTTATAGAGCCTTGTTCACTTGAGCTATTTAAAGCAATTTTCCTGAGATATTAATCTGTTTAAAGGAAGAGCCTGAGAGTAGCAGAAAATACATAACTCCCTTGTCCTTCTACCTTTTCCAGTGCGACTTCCAGGTCCATGTATCTGCTTGCTTGCTGCCTCCGTTGTGTTTTCGGCATGCTGCTGCTCGTGCAGATGCAGTTCAGGGGCTTGGCAGAGCAGAGAGAATTCCAAGAGGAAGGGGGACTGACAGCCTGATACAAAGTAGTGTTAAGTGATGGAAGAAAATTGTCATTTCTCTTGGAGGGGTTTTATTTTTGCTGTTCACATCAGGTATAATCTTTTGGGTGAAAACTAAGGTTGGGTGTGGGGTTTTTCAGGTCATATTGGTGCAAACTGTGCTGCACTCTTTGTGTGAATAATTTGGAAGAGGCCAGAGTTCCCTATAACACATCCCGTGGGAAAATGGCTTGCTTGCTTAGGTTTTCCTTACACCAATTGGCAAAAGAAATAGAGGTTTGGAATTCCCTGGAGTCTTGCCCAGGAGTGTGAAACCCGGCTCTGCGGAGGGGAGATGGGTGTCTGACATCAGGCTTGGTGACAGCGGATCGCTTTGCAGAGCGCCCCGTGCCGGGTCAGCTCGCTGCTTGAGAAGTGGGATTGAGATGGCGTCAGCGTAAGTAGGAGTCTAAAGCAGGACTGGAAAAATAGCAGAGGAGTCGGCCTGAATGCTAAATTAGAGAGAACAGCCCAGACTTGTTTTCCAAGCCTTGTGCGTTTTGTTGCATCATGCCAGATATTGGTCAAGAAAGAGATCGGTTGATGTAAAATAAGCTTTAAACAAGACTGTTTTCTTTTCCCCGGTGCTGCGTGCCCCGAGGGCCAGGCAGGGTTACGGAGGCAGCTGCTGGCGGCGAGTCGGTGGGTGTGCTGCTGCTGTGTGTGCCGCAGGAGCATCGCGTGGGGTTTGTAGCAACACATCCTTTCCGGGGCATCAAAGCACGTTCTGGCAGAGAATAAATGTCAGTCTCGAGATGAGCTGTGCTTGGCTGCGAGCAGAGGTGATGCTCAGGTGGGGGAAACCCTGTCAACTACAGAAATTAAATTTTAAAAACTTCCCTTAACTTATTGGCGCCTGAGCTGCCTGAAATGAAAAGGCGGAGGAGCAGCACGGCCACGGCACGCTCTGCACCCGCTGTCACACTGCCAGTGGCCTCTGTGCACTGGTGGCATCTAGTGGCTGCTGTGGCCCTCTGTCCCCAGGTCCCTGGGA